GAGTTACAGATCCCTGTAAAACACCAGGGCAATTGGTTAGCTAATTGACCACTGTCCTCCTGGCACAATGCAGATGAAATACTCAGAGTTCCATATGAACTAAAGCACCACTTGCAATGTAAACTCCTACAAACTACATGGGATGAAATAAACTAGAGCAGAATTCAGAAATTTGCTTTTTTCTAAGGCAGGACACTGAGCTATCCCAATAAGGTTCTCGCACAGCACAATGGAAAAGTTCACAAGGTTGGAAAACTGAAAATGTCCATTTTGAAAAGTACATCTACTTTTCATTCTCCATCACACTCCCATGCCCTTTTCTGCTCTAGAGGAAAACAGAAACACATAAAATACCTGAAGCAAAACTGAATGTAAGTTCAAACTGAGGAGTGTAAACACTAGGTGGAATTGCAAACACGTAATAACACTAGCAATAAAAGAAATTGTAAGTTAAGGGTAAAAAAAGAAAAGAAATACTAAGCAATACCAGAAGGCAAATGCATGTTGCAGGCAAGTTTAACGAATGACAAGCAACAAGATGAAAGGAAACATTACAGTGAAATAAGTAGAAACCATCAGGATTATTTCCAGGAAAGGAAATTTATGTCAAATAAAAATAAGTTAACCTAATCTAATACCAAAAGGCAATAAGGATCATATCAAATGATACAACTCAAAAATCAAAAGAAAATTGGATGATGTTTAAATAAAAGCCCCGTTTATTGAATCAAAGTAACACAGTAGACATGTAACATGAAAACCCTGTGGTAACCTAATACATTGGAAAGTAGGTTGAAATATAAAGAAAGCCCAAAATAATTGCATAAGAAAATGAATATACTCAGTAACCAAAGCAAAATTGGAAAACATCATGAGAAACACAGAACTAAAACAATAATAAAAATTTAAATGAGAAGGCTAATATGTTAATATGAGAAAATCACATGTCAATGGATCTGTCAGGTTAATCAGAATGTCCTCTAGAAAGACCCAAGCACTGTGGTTCTCACAACAGCACAGCTGTTTAATTCACAAAACACAAAAGACCACCTTCAGAACACAAATACTGTCTCATATACAGAAAGAAGAGATGAAAGTTTGTATAAATGTATGTATGGCATTTAGCTTGTTGTTGTTGTACACCATAGAGCTGTTTTCCACTCACAGCAACAGTGTATAGGGTTTCTGAGAGCGACTAGTGAGTTTGAACTGCAGGCCTTGTGGTTACTGATCCAGTGCTTATTTACAGTGGGAATGTAAAGTATCTTGGAAAGTTCCTTGTCCTACACCTTTCTTGTACCAAACAATAAATCTAAACGTCTTGGTTATGCTCCCTCTCTGAGAGCTCCACCAGTTAGTGAGTATGGGGACTGGAGTCCAGTGTCTGGGACCCTTGCACACAGCACTGCACTCACTGTTACAGTAGAGAGACAAGCAAATCTTACAGAGTATCTTTCTGTTCTAAGCAAATTTTACTGTGCAAAATCCTAATCTAAACTTAAAGAAATCTACAAAACCTGGACAAAAAAAAAAATCATACTTCTAAATACTTAAGAACTTTGTTGTCCTTTCTCTTACCACTCACAAGGATTGTTATAAAATTCTTTTCAATTTCTACCGTGGTATTTAAGCAAATACATATGATTGACTGTGACTGTTAAAGACACTAGAAAGTTTCTTCCAGCAGCTGCCATCACCATAAAAGGTTCCTCTTTTTCTGAGTCAGTCAATACCTCCTTACCAGAACCCAACACAAACACACATTTCAAAGGGGCCCCTATATTTCAAAGCCATTGAGAAGGCATGCATCCTTACTTCTTCCCATCCTCACCAGAAAGAAAGAAAAGAAAACACTGGGAATGTGTTCTCTTCAGCTATGCTTTAACGTCACTGAAACGTATCAAAACAAAAATAGAATTGTTTCCTTGCAAAGCCTTCCACAATAAAAATTGTATTTTAAAAGACCAGTTATGCTTACATATATTGATAGATATGGTTCTAGATTTTAAAATATTAAGTTGGCCATTTCATTCAGTCACCAAATATTGGCTGAATGCTTGTCCCAAAGACTGGAGGTACAGCAGTATACAAAATAACCAATATCCCTGTTTTCATAGAGCTTATATTCTACAGAGACAAAACCAAGCAAATAAGCAAGTAAAGGCAGTCCTCGACTTTTGTCATATTTGAGTTATGATCTGCACTATGACCATTTTATCATTGGTAATACATACTATGTAAAATGATTCATATGACTTCTGGTGTGGCACTGTAGGATCAGCACTGGACTGCGAACTACAAGGTCGGCATTTCAAATCCACCAGCAGCTACTCGGAAACCTTATACAGGGTCACTATGAGTCAGAATAGCCTACTCGATGGCACTTAACAACAGCAACATCATACTCAGAGGTTCACTGATGTTCAAAGATTGAATTTATAATGATAATGACAAAGGCGGTAAAATAACAGTGAAAAAGAAAAAAGTTCAACATGTCAGAACTGATTTATGTGGAATCTGAAATACCTCAATTAAAAATAATAAACATATATGTGTGTACATATCTATATGTAACTATTATTTCTTAATCTGTGCTGTCTAAAGAAGGTGAAATGAACAAATCATTGATTTTGCAGAATTCTATCATGCAATCTCCAGCCTCATTTCTATCACCAAGGCCGTATTTTCCAACTACTGATCCTTCCTCCTTGCTCCTAACCTTTGCATTCCAATCAACACTAATGATCAATACATCTTGACTGAATGTTTGATCAATTTCAGATTGAAGAAGTTGGTACAATTCTTCTATTTCATCTTCACTAGCTTCAGTGGTTGGTGCATAAATTTGAATAATATCAGTATTAACTGGTCTTTTCTGTAGGCACATTGATATTATCCTATCATAGATAGCGTTGTACCTTATAACTGATCTGAATAAGGTCCAAATTCCCCTTGACCTAGTTAGCTTCCATTTAGTATAAGGATGTTGTAAGACATCATGGAAAAATCTCGTATCTTTTATTTCCATTTTTCTAAGAAACTTTTGAAGCTCCCTTGTAGTCACATCTCAGTTTGAATGTCTCTTCCTTAGGGAAGACTTCCCTGGCTCCAAGACCAGATAGAATTCTCCAATAGCTCTCACCCCCTCCCCTCACAACTTACTCTGTATGAAATTATACATTACTTGTACAAATATGGTCCCCACAATATGCTAAGCCCCTCACCTAGAGCACATGTCTCTTTTGCTGACTGCTGTCTCCAATGCCCAGATCCAAGCTCATGTCTTGTACACAAAGAACACTCACTAAATATTTGGTTAATAAATGAAAGAATGTGGCACTTATGTGTAGACATGAAGTAAAAAGGTCACTGCTAGAGCAAAGTCTCTATATCCAAATAAAAACTAAGCCCGCTACTATTGCGTCAGTTTCAACTCATCACAACGAAACAGTCCATTGCATTTAGGAAGCGGGGAACAGGACTGAGAAACATCAACTCCAGTACCCTGAATTGAGTGACAGTAAATACAGTTGATCAAATGTGTTCTTGTATTTGCTTTGGGTTTTATTTAGCTCATCAAGCATCAACATTATTCTGTGTCTCTAGAATTACTGCAGACACTAATGGTAAAAATCATTAACTCTGCATTGGAAAGGAGCAAAAAATATGAGGTTACTGAACTCTGCTAAAGAATTAGGCATAGAAAGGGAGGAGATCTGCTCATATGCATTTTATCTACAATAAAGCAAAAGTTTTTACAAGCATTTCACAAGCTTTCTACCAAGTGAACACCAGTCTGAAGTTATAATTTAAGATATATAAAATATACCTGATTTTTTCTCATTAGTGTTTTATTTTAATGAAATGTAAAAAGAAGAAGAAAACTCAATTATACAGTTACAGAGCTTTCATAGGTTCACTTATGTCCTCAAGCACATTACTTTTTTTCAGAGGTGCTAATTCTCAACATCAGGTTTTCCTGTCACAGGAATTTCAGCAAATTAGGCTTTTATGATTGAAAATAAAATCAGGTTGTGTTTTTCCCTTCTATGCTTCAGGCTTCTTTCCCTCCCAGAGGCACTAAAATGTAACTGCTAAAAGGTGGGGAAGGACAATACCTTAAGTCTAAACAGTAACAGCTCTGTTTACTAACAAAAGAATTAGTTTAACTTCCAAAAAAAATTCTTCAAAAGCTCTACACCCAATCCACCATCTTGAACACTGAAGACAGGAAAAAGTCTAGGGAAAAGGTGGTGGTGGTGTGCTGTGGAGTTGGTACTGACTCATAGTGACTCTACAGAGGGTTTCTGAGGCTGTAAATCTTTATGGGAGCAGAAAGCCTCATATTTCTCCTGAGGAACAACTGGTAGTTTCGAACTTCTGTCCTTGAGGTTAGCAGCCCAACTTGTATCCACATTGCTACCAGAGCTCCTTAGGAAAAAGAAAGGTTTATAAAGTATAGAAAAGGTTGTAAACAATCAACAGTATTTTCCATTTAAAAAAACAAACAAACACTTATATACCAAGTATTATACTCGATTTATTTATGGTAAGCTCTAACCCCGGTTCCAAATTTGTACTCAAATACACATAAATTCATAGTAGCCTCTTAACTATACAAATATTACTGCAAAACTGATGTACCTCAGTTTCTGGAAATCAGATACAAACCATGCACAGTCCTCACATGTCCACTATGGCTGTATACATCTGCCTCATACAACTCTCATGAAACACACTCATGCAGTAAACCCCAAGGCCCTTTTGTCATGAAAGATCTACTTGTGGTGATAGTAGTGAAGTCAGACAGAAGGAAAATCATGCGTAAATGCAAATTAGTCATTTACAAAATGCAGACTCTTAACTTTCTAAACTTAATTTAAAATACTCAGTCCATCCAAATCAAATATGGGTGCCAAGGTGAAGAATGTGTTAGAGACATTCAGGTGTCATATGTGAAAACAAATTAATTTTCTTGGAAATCGGTTGATGTTTGATACCTCCTTCATCAGACGTTCTTGTTACCTCACTGCAGCATGAAAAGCTAGGGTAAATCTCAGATATTTCTGACTTGTCGTCCCCCAGACCTGTACCAAAGGTACTGCTGGAATGAGAGCGAGACCGGTGTCGCCTATAGTTATTCGCTTTTTCTAGAGTGAAGGGAAAATATTCATATTTGTGATAAAACGACTTACAGGGCAGAAAGAAATAAAAATCATTTAACGACTTAACAGTGAAAAGGGGCAACCGTTTAATAATAGATCATTCCAAATCTCAGTTATTATAACATTCTAACCACTTATTCTCAACCTTCAGCTAAACTGCTTCAACTACATAAATGGTTCAAAGATCATCCATACTCATTTTTTAAGTTAGATTTTAAAGAAACCTGGGAAGTAGGCAATTGACAGTTTTTGCTAAGAACTAAGAAAATTTTGATGACCTCAGCAACTTGGTACAATCGAAGTAACTGCATTTGTAAACCCAGAAACTCTGTAAAATCATGTCCACTAATAAAAATCAATTATAGGTAAGGCTCAACTATCTTTATAAATTAATCTAGGATAAGCTAATCTAAAATATATTTAAAAGTCCATTTACAGATTTTATTTTCATGAATGATAATGGCACATGAAAGTACCTGAACACTTTATTGGTTTTCCAAATTCTCAACTTTAAAAGTGTACATTATGCAGTTGGCACAATGAACCTCTACAGTCTACTTTCAGGACACAAGTGTGTAGATGGGAGAAACTCGAAAAGTAAGCAATACCAGAAAGCATATGGAGACTTCTAGACTGAATATTATCTTCCAGGGGATCAATGTCGAAGATGGATCCAGGATCTGTGCGCCAAACTTTGAGGTCTTTTACCAAAAGAAAGAAATCAACAAATTAAGAACTTAAAAAAAAAAAAAAAAACCAAAACAACAACAAAAGAAAAACAGTTAACACCAAAGACAGTCAAACAAAAATCTGGGAAGGGGTGCGTGTAAAAAGCAAACATAAACAAACCCAGTGCTGCAGACTTCAGAGAAGAACTAAAAAGGATATTCAATTTTACAAGTATTTGTTAAGAAGGCTTCATAATTAAATTTCACTTGCTTTGAGGGAATGCTTGTGACTTTATCATGCAGCACATGGGCACCTGGGGTGACTGTGTATCACCTCCACAGCATCCCCTCTGTCCTAAATCACTCTTACTCTCTACTCACTCAAACAGGATGACTGACAAAACCACCTGATTAAGTACCTTCGAGTAATCCATAGGAATGATTGAGAAGTTAGTGTCTTAGAAAACTGCTGTCCTAAAACAGAAACAAATGTTTGAGATGTAGGCGAGTGGTCAGCCCGTTTTCTTTCTGAGTCTAATATCTATATTTCTAAGTGCAAGTTAATCTATGTAAAATACATGGATTAGAAAACTGCTAAGAGCAAGGTAATGAGCAAGAAACAACAGGGATGGAAAGATGAATATAGAAGTAACTTCCTGCTTTCAGTGGGTAGTTCACAGCTATGGTCAATGATCAGACTATGCAAACCAATTTATTCTGCTTTTTCAAGTTGGAGGCAAATTCCAAATTTAATAACTGCTGAGGTTACTAGTCTCTCCAATTAATGGTTGTCAAATCTTAAAATAATCTCTTTTGTATTGTTCCAACAAATGGAAAGAAAGAACCTAGTGATGGATGTTGTCGTTGTTGTTTCCAACTCGTTGTTGGTTCCAACTCATGGCGACCCTGTTACGGTTTCTGAGGAGCAACTGATGGGTTTGAACTGACAACCTTGTGGTTTGCAGTACAGTGCTTATCCTACAGCACCACAAACTGAGGAGAAAATCCAATTAATGAGTAAACTGAAACTAGACATCTGCTTTTCTGTTTTTAATTAATAGCATTAAGAGCTTACATATGCCAGATATTACCTGAAGTTATAAAATAACTTCAATAAAATTTCATAATTTATTAAAGTAGGTACTATTATTATCCTTAAGGAGCTCTAGAAGCAGAGTGGTTTATATGTTGGACTTCCAACCGCAAAGTTTTAATCTACCAGTTGCTCCACAGGAGAAAAATGAGGCTTGCTGCTTCTGTAAAGATTTACACTTGCTTTAGCATCTCTAGGCTGGAGAGCACGTTTCATAGTCTCTTCTGATATCCATTCTGGCCTTTTCCTTCTTTCTTGTCTTCCTAATGACATTTTCCTTTCTTCCTGTATGATGTTCTTGATGTCATTCCACAACTCTTCAGGTCTTTGATCATTAGTGTCTAATGCATCAAATCTGTTCTTGAAATGATCTCTAAATTCAGGTGGAATATGCTCAAGGTCAAATTTTAGCTCTTGTGGACTTGTTTTAATTTTCCTCAGCTTCAGCATCAACTTGCATATGAGCAATTGATGATCTGTTCTACCATCTGCCTCTGCCTTTGTTTTGGCTGATGGTATGGAACCTTTTCACTATCTCTTCCCACAGATGTCGTCAATTTGATTTTTGTGTGCTCCATCTGTTGAGGTCCATATGTACAGACCTGTTGAGGTCTTTTATGTTGGTTAAAAAAGCATTTAAAATTAACAAGTCATTGGTCTTGAAAATTCTATCAAGTGATCTCCAACATTGTATCTATTATCAAAGCCATATTTTCCAGCAACTGGTCCTTCTTTGTTTCCAACCTTTGCATTCCAATCAACAGTAATGATCAATACACCTTGATTGCATTGTCTGATCAATTTCAGAATAAAGAAGTTGGTAGAATTCATCAATTTCATCTTCATTGACTTTAGTGGTTGGTGTGTAAATTTGATTAATAATAGTATTAACTGGTCTTCCTTGTTGTTGAGTGCCAATGTGTTGGTTCTGACTCATAGCAACTCTGTACAGGGTTCCCAAGGAGCATATGGATATTATCCTATCATAGACAATATTATACTTCAAGATAGATCTCAAAATGTTTTTTTGATGATGAATGTGATGTCATTCCTTTTTAATTAGTCATTCCCAGCATAGTAAACCATATGATCATCAGATTCAAAATGGCCAATACCAGTTCATTTCAGCTCACTAATGCCTAGGATATCAATCTTTAAGCTTTCCATTTATTTTTTGTCAATTTCCAATTTGCCTAGATTCATACTCCATACATTCCATGTTCTGATTATTAATAGATGCTTACAGCTGTTTCTCCTCATTTTGAGTTGTTAACTCTGAAACATGCTCTCCAGCACAGAGCTCAAACAAATGGAAGAAATGAGAAAGAAAAAGAACTGAATAGAAAATTTCGAAGACCAGCTCGAGAAGACAAAGTCAAGTATTAAAATGAAATGTACAAAGACATGGAGTTAGAAAGCCAGAAGAGAAGGCCATACTCAGCATTTCTCAAGCTGAAAAAACTGAAGAAAAAATTCAAGTCTCAAATTGAAAGACTGAAGGATCCCATTGGAAAAATACTGAATGATGCAGAAAACATCAAAAGAAGATTAAAGGGATACAAAAGAGTCACTGTACCCAAAAGAAATAGATGTTGTTGAACCACATCAACAGATAGCATATGATCAAAAGACAAAGGTACTGAAGGAAGAAGCCCAAGCTGCACTGAAGGAACTTTCAAAGAACAAGGCTCTGGGAATTAATGGACTAAAACTTGAAATATTTTAACAAACTGATGCAGCACTAGAAGCACTCACTCATCTATGCCAAGAAATTTGGAATGCAGCTACCTGGCCAAATAATTATAAGAGATCCATATTTATGCCCTTTTCAAAGAGAGGTGACCCAATGGAATGCAGAAATCATCAGATAATATGGTTAATATTATACGCAAGTAAATTTTGCTAAAGATAATTTTAAATCAGCTGCAACCATACATTGACAGGGAACTGCTAGAAGCTCAAGACAGATTCAGACAAGGCTGTGGAATGGGGGATATTATTGCTGAGGTCTCATGGATTCTGGCTGAAAGTCGACAGTACCAGAAAGATGTTAAATTGTGCTTTATTGACTATGCAAAGACTTTCAACTGTGTGGATCACGACAAACTATGGACAACATTTTGGAGAATCAGTATTCCGGAACACTTAACTGTGCACATGAGAACCCTCTACATAAACCAAGAGGCAGTCATTTGAATAGAACAAGGGAATGGTTTAAAACAATGAATGCTTTAAAATTAGGAAAGGTGTGTAGTAGGGTTGTATTATTTCACCATGTTTATTAACCTTGCTTGCTGAAAGTGAAGAGGACTTGAAACATTTACTGATGAAGCTCAAAGAACACAGCCTTCATTATGAGTTGCATCTCAATGTCAGGAAAACAAAAATCCTCACCACTGGACCAATAAACAACATTCTTATCAATGGAGAAAAGATTGAAGTTGTCAAGGACTTCATTCTTCTTGGATCAACTA